GCAACGGATGCCTATTTTGTTCAGTGATTTTATATCACCTAACTGAAAACAATGTGCTTTTTTTATCGTCCATAAAAATGTGAAAGCATGGTTGGAAAAATTGTGGAGAAAGTGTGGAAGGTTGTTAATGTATTTTACAGTTCTGGCTGAGTATAAAGCAAAAATAAAGAAAGGAATTTTGAAAACTCTGTTTCGTATGTTTTCATCCTCCTGTTCTTCATTCTCTTTGCTTTGCCTTCCCTCATCTTACTAATTGTTTGTTGTTGCTGTTGCTTTTTTCAGGTTTTATTCATAATTGCTGTCCACAATAAAAAAATCTGACATAATTTCATATTTTTAACTTCAATGTGCTGCAAAATCTGATTATTTCAGTTCAGAACCGTATGAAATTCTGATATAAATTGGGATTGTTAAGAACAATAATTGCTTAATGTCTTTTGAGTATATATTTTAACATTGCTGTAAATGGGTTGTCTTTTTTTAAGGGTCAAGTACGTTTAAAGGCACTTGAACTACATTTCATGGAGATCCAGGATCAAAGTTGGTATTATAAGGGTTGTCCTAACAACATTGTAAGATTACAAAAATCCTTAGAATAAAAGCTAAAAAGTCAATAATAACTACTTATGTGAGCAAAGGTCTGGCTGCTAAGTAAAACTGTCTCTGCATACCTTCTCTTGGCAGGTTATGTTTGTCTTTATTCTTACTTTTCAGCATAATATCTAACAGCTGAAAGAGGCATGGTAATTTCAAGCTTGTCTCAGTCAACACGTTTTGTTTTTTTCATCCTCCTGCACCTGTGCTTGGCTGTCAGACAGCCCAAAGACTCTGTGGAGGAACAACAGCCCCATGACAAAAGGTTTCCTGACTCCGGACAAGGAACACTGCATGTCAAGGCAGGTAGGTCCTTATTTCTGCCTGAGGATTTTCACCAAATGGATTTAATAGCATTCAATTGTTACATCCAACATATTCTTTTCATGTATTTTTATATTGTCAATCCATCTGTCTTTCCGGGTGGCCCTGCTCCATCTATTTATAGGCCTACAAGGACATTAGCTCGGTGTTCGTGTAGAAATGTCATGTAAGGGCCTTACAGAAGGTCAAGAAAAAGGAATCGGTTTTGTCCATAAAGGGGAGAAATTAATCTTTTTCTTTTGACGGTCTGTGCAGCCATGCTGAATACTAATTTATTCTGACATTTTGTGTGTGTGTGTGTGGGTAAAAGTAAATAAAGTGAAATAAATAACCTCAACACTTGGAATATTCAAATGTTGTTTTAAGCAGCTCTCAAATCAGAAGCGCTAAGAAAATAAAATATCATGTGCTAAACTGGTGTCTGATTACAACCTTATATAACGTGCATGCCTGAAGTTTCAGATGTAGTTTGAATAAAAGAAGAAGAATAATTTCTGCTGCTTCTGTCTTCCTCTGTCTCTATCTTTTTTCAGAGGAGGAATGGAGGAAAGCTACGAGACATTCGAGGAGGAGTTATGGCCACCGAGGGCAGACGCTCCTCCACAGAGACCTGTTCGGCAGATCCGCAGAGCGAGTGGCGGCACGTACAAAAAGCACACACACCGACTCACTGATGGCTGCATGCTCAGCTGGGTTCAAAATAACGGCAGTCCATTGTCACTGAGATCAAGCACAGTTTCAGATTACCCTTATATCCCGTTGAATCATATCATAAAATAAGAGAAAACGTAAAGAAGAAAATTCACAACTTGTCCTTTTTGGTAAAAAGGTTTACAAAAGACGACAAAGGCTGCGACCTCAGTTTCACACATCGTTGCCGAGAAGAACCGTACAGAAATGAGACATGCTTTTTTTTAGTTGTTTTATTGTATAATACTTCAGTGGGTTTGTTATTTTTATTTCAGAAATGTACACTGCAAGAAAAATCAGAGAGGTGAGTTTGGGAACAACCGACATTTACAAAAGTGGTTCATACTGAGATCCTTTATTGCCAAGTTGTTCCCCGACAGGACGTGCCTCCGGTGTCTCTGCAACCAAGATCGGAACCTAAGATCTTACCCAAAGAACCCAGCTCCACCAAACCTAGTGAGTAACCTACATACTTCCTCTTAAACTCCTTAATCTTTTTAAGTTCAATATTTAAAAGCGTTTTCTTTACATCTTCCAGCATTCTCGCATAAAACCCTGTCGATCCAGAACCCGACCCAGCCAGAGACTCCCTGGGAAAACGTCACCCTCAACCGTTGTCTTTTTGTAGCCATTGGCATCCTGGTGCTCACCTCAGGCTTCCAGAAGCTTCACGGCAAGTAGACTAAACTATAAATACATAAAAATACGCTTCTGATCAAAATATGAAATCTGGGGAGTTCAGACTATCTGCTTTTCATGCTGTTGGACTTTAACCTGGTTTTAAGTTGAGGTTCAGGGACATGAGATGAACAAAACTGAGCAGACAATTTACAGAAAAACACATCTAAACTGTTCATCAGTTTTAAGACCAAGGCCAAAAAACAAATAAAAAACCCTAAAACAAAACAAAACACAAAGTGCAGAATTGAGTGACCCTGATGTTCTTGTTCATCACTTCGAAAAGTAGTTAGAACTATGCAAATGTTCACAGTTGACTTGAAGCTCAGTTGATCAACTAAAGGAAAAAGCTACCAGATCACAATGGACCCATGTCCACTTATAGGACACCTGTCCAGTGGGATCTTCTGGTGTTTCCAGTGACATTGGAATCCGTCATGACTCTTGTTTTTATCTTCTGGTCAGAAAATGAAATTTTCTTCCACCTTTGAACATCCCACCTTTGGTGCTGCTTTGCAGTGTCCAAAAAGAAAAGAAAGAAGGAGACGAGGCCTTAAAGACGTTCTCTTGCTGCCCTTCTCACACAGATAGTCTTTTGACTTGTTGGCTGTAGTCGGCATCAAGGATTTGCTGGTGTCATCGCAGGCAGCTCATCAGCACAGATGTGAACTTTTTTTGTGCCTCAAGAATCATTGCACTTTTAAAGATGGAGAGACTTTTTTTTGTGTTTGGCTTCATGAGAGTGTGAATGCATGACAGAAAATAACACAAAAGCCATATAAAGCACTTTGATTAGCTGATGGGCAGCTTAAGTGTTTTCAGTAATTTGCCAACTCCGCCTCTTGCAGCAGGATGGAAAATGATCCCTGGTTTCGAGATGTTGAGCAGAAGTGTACAGAAATGACTGAGTTGTTGTTAAATAAAGTATTTCAAAATCCCACAGAAACTTTACGTGGCCAGGGAACAATAGAGGAGGAAGAGGAAGCTGGACTAACAATGAGACGATCAGAGTTGTTACGTCGCAGAGGCCGTCTGCCGGAGGTAAAGCTGGTCTCCTGTTGCAGGTGTTTTAGAATTAAACATCGAGCGTTTCATCACCATGACTTTGATAAGCCCATCTAAGCTAGACACATTTCATTTCCTTAAAGCCAGAGACGTCTCTATGGGAAGTCATGTTTTGGTGGCTGCCAGACCTCGACGATGAAGATGAAGACGAGGAGGACGACGAAGAGATCAAAAGAAGAAAATCAAAGAGGGGAGTAACGAGACGAACATCGAGAGGTCTCAGGAACAGGCCGCTGCCGGAGAAAAAACTCTTAAAGCAAAGAGACGGGAAATTAAAGGACAGGAGGGCCAGGAAAGCCAGGGCAAACAAAATCAAAGACAAGAGAGGGAGAGCCAGGAAAGAGGACCCTGAAGAGGCAGCAGACAAAGAGGATGAAAGAGGAGACAAATGCAAAAAAGAATAAGCGGCAAGATGGGAAATAAAACGAAAAAACAGAATTTTTATTCTGCTCTCACTACACATCAAATGGAGTCTCAAATGTTTGCCTAATCAAGTGGCAGAAAAGTTTTAAAGCTCAGTGGTGCTTCCGTGGAAAGTTGCTTTAACGCGTCAAGCTAAAAATGAAAGCAAAATATGTTCCATGCTTCCTTATTGGAGAAAACACTTAAAATATTCTGCTCTGAATCGACTGCTGGTTGAGATATCTGTACATTTAAGGTGAAACCTCAAAAGGTTCATTTATTTTACTATCTTAAAACTTTAAAGCTGAAACTCATGCAGATACATCACAAAGTCTGGTGTGTTTTAATAGTTTATCTCTGTTGATCCACAGCTACTGAAACCCCAAAATTCAGTCTCTCAGAAAATTTTATTATTACAGAAGACCATTAAAATAAGGGATTTTTACGCCGGATGTTAAACCCTATTGGAACTGAGAAGTCAAGAAAGGGAACTGCTGAAGAAAGCTGGATGTTCACTTCACATACAAGACTGATCATGGATAGTTTAGTGGAAGAAAAAAGTGGGTTTGAACAGATGTCCAAGTAACACCTGATGTTATCCTTTTATAAAGTTAAACATCAGTGAAGCTTTCTAATTTTATAGCATTTCATGCTGGAGTTTGATGTCAAGTTTTTAGGTAAAGTCTATTATATTTGCCAACAGGAGAAGAGTAACCGTCCACATGTCCAAAACAATCAAAACCTGCTTTTCTGAGAATATATGGAGTATATATAGAGGGGGAAAGGAAACATACAGAGACTGCTCGTAAAGACATGCGAGCTTCCTTAACACCTCAGCAGAACCACAGGCTGACCTCCATGTCAAACTGCATTGATGCAGAAACTCGAGCAAAAGGAACCCAAACCAACAACTGACAGCAAATACAATAAGAGCACATAGTTTTCAATGAGCTAACAGTTCTGTAGGGAAAAAAAAAAACTTTAATGGTTCTGTGTAATTTTTAAAGGTTCTGGTGAACATAAACAGTCAAAATGTATCGCTGTGAAATTAATTACTGTTTGAATTGAATTTAAAAAGTAGTTTAAGAAGCGGGGGTGGAAAAAAAATCCTAAGGTTTGACGTATTGAAACAAACCTGAAAATTGTGTGAAGATTCAATCTGAAGCTTTATCCTTGTAGATAAATTTGACTTCAAACAGGTCAGCATAGTAACATCTTCACCGTCACAACAGACACAGACAAAATGATATTTTTTCTTGGTATTTATTTAGAAAAACTGTTTGTCAAAAAAGTTTTCAGCTCACATTATGTACTGATTTTAGTAGGGGAAAAAAAAAAAAAAAAAACATGTTGGAGAAGTGACCGAACATATTTTATCCCGAAAATTATAAGTCCAGAAATGATAATTAAAAAAAAAAAAAAAACTATGACAAAACCAATTATAGTAAATTAATTCATTCCGAGGCCTTCCGGAGGCGGCGGTCTCATGGGCATGGGGGGCATGGGCATCTGTGGGGGCATCTGTGGGGCGCCAGGAGCCCCGGGTGGGAGAGGAGGAACCGACATCCCTCCTGGAGGAGGAGGGGGCAGCGAATCACTGGGCAGCCGAGATCCTGGCCCGCTCATGAGTGGAGGTGGGTGCTTCATGCCGGGAGGAGGAACTGGACCGCCGGGCTGGGAAATAGCTTTCTCCATTTTGAAGTGGAACTGCAGGAAAAACTGCACACAAGAAAAAAAAAAAAAACATGGTGTCAAAACATGCAGTCATATTCAATAAATTAAAATTTACGTCCCAATGAGACTTGTTTGTCAAATTGAAAATACCTTTTGACAATAACCTGCAAGCAGGTATTAAACATACTTTTCACCAAGTCAACATTTAACTTTTGTTTTTGAAAACAGTTTTTTTTTTTTTTTTTAATTGGTTTGCTCAGATGTATTTTTAAATGCCCTGTGTTCATTTGCTGCAAGTGGAAAATGATCATAATTAACAGAAATAAAGACTTTCAAAAGTCCATCTGAGTGTAATTAATTTATAGAATGTGTTTCACTTGGTGATCAATAATATTCCAATTTATTCTGTAGTTCCTTCGGTTTATGTAAACTCCCATAATTGGGTGCGCGTTAGTACCTGTTTAGTTTCTTTGTTCCAGTGGGTCCAGAAGCGATTTTCTGCTTTATCTATTTCCCTGCTGGGAACCTGAAAGAGCAAACGCATTACGTTGGTGCCTTCAGCACATTGACATAATTCCCGCACATCTATTCGTAACTGACTTCCATACTTTGAAAATCCAATTTTTCACAGTTTGTGTTCCACTTTTTGCACATTTTATCAAAGTATAAATACCAAAACTTCACCATGAACAGAACTGGAACATTTCTGTCGAGGTGCAGCTTTAAATACAGAATGTCAGCATAAATGAAGGAAGACCTTGTCTTATGTACTTGCAGAAACACGGTAACGATTACACAAAGTGAATGAGCAGCTCACCTTGAAGGCGATAGTTTCATAAGGTTCGGCAGCGAACAGCAGGTACTGCCAGCGGCGATCGGGGGGCTCGATGCGCTGCTCATAGGCAGACATGAAACGATGCCTTGGTCCGATTCCTTCGGCAATCTCAGGATAGTCGATCTGATCGAGACGGATACAAAACATTAGCCGACATCTGGAGCAGAAAGCAGCTTTTTTAATTTAATTAGTAGCAGATGAGTCCCAATTATTGGGAAAAAAAAAACCCTTCAAAAAAAACCCGAGAAGAGGAGGTTAGTTTTTTTTAACATACACATGAAAAAGGAGCTATAATAAAGGCAGACTTAGCATTTCATTTTCTCTGTTAGGCACAGACCAATATGAGATTCCCACAGCATAATAGAGTAAAAACAACACAGTGTATTCACACAGACTTAAAACATGATGCATATGCTTTTATTAAAAACAGAAAAACAATTTTAGTAAAACAAAAATAGAAAGTACTGATTATAATAACCCAGATTATGCACCGTAAACTTAATCATGTTCAAATAAACCTTCTTACTGTGCAGAATATTAGATATTTCTGCTGCGTCTCCTAGTTATTAATAAGATTATTTGCTTCATTAGTGTTTGCAGTCGTTTATTTTACAGAGATGTAAAAACAACAATTGTGATAAGTGATACTGCTTTAGCTTTGCATGACTGATTGATTTTTTTTAAAGGCTGGAAATATCTCCAGTCAAACTTATCTTTTTTTGAAAGAAAGGTCAAACCTGTTAATAGCCTTCTTCCAGCCAGCTGAATGGCAGTGCACAGAACAAGGTGGGGAAGAGGAAATCCCTCATTATTTTATACTCCATATAGTAGGAAATAATCCAATACTTCCTCTTGCATCTTATTAGAAGAAAACCTTTTTTTTTGTTGTTGTTGTTTTTTGGAGTTGTGAAACCAAAACTATTTAAATCCTACATATTCCTTGAGGAGTTTTCCCCAAAACAAACTGATTTTGGTTTTCATATCAGGTTCTAACCTGGAACAATAACGACTGCTGACCGGTCTCTGGATCCCTCTGCTTGGTCACTAAGAAGAATAAAGACACAATGCACTTAGAAACCACTGCATTAGCAAAAATATGAGAGGACCACAATAAACCTGATTTGATTATTGCACAGCCAGCCTACCCTTGTATCCTGGTCGACCAATTTTGACAAACTTCTTGACCTCAACCTTTACTTTGGCTGGAGCTGGTTGAGCAGGAGCTTCTTTTGCCTCTTTGGCTGCTCTCCGTGCTCTGAGACACAAAGTATCAAACCGTCAGAAGGACGAGGGTTTAACAAGTGACACAGCATCGTATTGCTGCCTGAGCCACAGAAATAATAAAGCAGGTGCCACCGCAACACAAACTTAATTATAAATATAGTTACAGTTATAAACAGGTAAATGTGAAATATAAACATATATATTTCTAAACAAGAAAAATAATGATGCATTTGGAAAAGCAAGAGTGAGATTCACTTACAAGTTAGTCTGATGCTTCTTTCCTTGTGTGTGAGCCAAGTAGCTGCCCTGTAACACACCGGAGAAACTTTTAAGTTGTCTTTAAAAAAGAAAAAAAAAGTGTACAAACATATGGAAGCATAACCGTAAATCTAAAGCCAGTTGATCACTTGCATTCTCACCTCATTGTTGTGAAGCGTCAGACAAAGTTTGCACTCATATGAGCCTAAATGATTCTTCATAAAGTAGGGGTCTTTGTTGATGTCGATTGTCTCCAGAGCCAGCTGGCGTAAGCGCTCACGCCTGTCACGGTTACTCTCGGAGGCAGAGGCCACCCCGCCGCTGCCGGTTTTCCCTCCGGCTCGATGCTGGAAATCCATGTTTCCGAGTGGATGGACTCAACCACTTAAGCAGAATCTGTCCAGTTAAAACTAGACTTAGAGCAAATTCCTGTGTGAAAACGTGATAATAAAAAGCTTATGACGGACCATTTTACTTATATAACAAACAATAGAAATGCAGAGGAAACTATTACCTGGAAACCAGAATCTGGTCATTTTTTTTTACTGTGATTTACTGTTTTATCCATCAAAAGAGTCTAAATGAAAGCATCTAACAACTAAAAACAAATCGGAGCTTTTTTCAGATTTTTTTTAAGACAATGTTTTAGGAGAAAAAAAGTGTGCATTACATTTTGGTTTGGGACCATTATTCTACCTGGAGAGAAAATCAGAAGTGTTGTAATTCTTTTAGCATGAGTAAAGTAGGAAAAAAATACCTCTGTCACATTCATAAAACGAATTTTATTGCATTTATAGCTTTTCAGTGAAACACCAGTATCACTGAAAATTATTTAGCCTGAAACATTTCGCTGTTTTTGAGGAATTATCATTTTATTTTACAAAGTATATGTTATTGTTGAAACTGTTACATTTCCAATATACGCCGGAGGAAGGTATGTTATTATCATCGAGTCTGCAGCTCAGTTTAACCACAAAGCTTATTTTTGAAGTTTTGACCCAACAGAACTGTGCTTGATTTATCTTGCAAGAATGCATTTCTTCTCTTTTTTTATTTAACCTTTCTGTTAAAAATCAGCGTAAGTAAAACACAACATATAAAATAAGTACTTTAAGTAGGTTCGCTACAAACTAATGTATTAATGTGACAGGGTTTCCGTTCACGTGCTTCATAAAGCATATTTTCTTTTATCCAATTTGACCAATATAATTTATAACACATGAATCATAATTTACTACTCCACAAAGGACCAAAAGTTTCAAAATCAAACAATCCATTTAAAACGCACTTAGCTCTATGTTAGCTTAGATTACATTGTAAGCATGCTAATACAAATCTAGCGATGTTAGCATATAGAAGCAGATTTCTCCCAGTTTCTCCCTCACTAATCATAAAACAAAGCATACGTGTATATATAATTATGTACAGGTACGCACAGAGTAAAATATCGTCGATATGTAACAATGAAACTACGTTTTCCAAAGCACTTACCGACTCAAACGAAAGAAGAACGCAGAAGCAGTTAGCTTTCTTTCTACAGTTTTTTTTTTATTTTTTATTTAGCAATTTATTAGCTGAATACTGCCACCTACTGACTGGGAGTCCAGGCCTAAAGTTAACATCTCTTCTCTTCTCTTCTCTTCTCTTCTCTTCTCTTCTATTCTCTTCTCTTCTCTTCTCTTCTCTTCTCTTCTCTTCTCTTCTCTTCTCTTCTCTAAATCTATTTAAGCTTGCAGCAAATTTCTGAAAATAATGCTGGTGTTCTGTGGTCCATATCAATTACATTTACTCAAAGTGATTTTCTATGAGTGTCTTTAGATAGTTACTCATTGCTGGGGTAAGTTTTACATATACACATAAAAACTATATATCTGCTGTTTTGCATTTGTCTTTAGTCAATTAACACATTGAATAAGAAATTCAATGAGTTAATTTTCTAATTGTTTTCACATGTTTTTTTGTTTTAATTATGAATATGTGCTTTGTTACATTTAAATGATTATAGCATTAATTTTTACTTCCAATTTACCTTAACTTTGGCAAAACAACATATTTGAAAGCTTATTTATTGATAACATTTTGATATTCGATAGGGTCCGCAAACTTTTCAATACAAAGAGCTGCTTTTTGTCTAGCCTCAAAAATGTGAAACTTTATAAACAAAAATACAATGTTTTATCTTGAAAACTAATAACATTTAACTCGTTTTTCTATTTTCAGACATTAGAAAAAAAATATTAAATTTTTACAACTGAAATAAATATTTTTAGTGGAATGACACTAGCTGAGTGAATTCTTCACATAAATATGGGAACTGGAGAAAAATAGATATAAAAATATGTCATAGTTTCATGTTAAGAAAAAAACCCCAACAACATTAAATTATGCGGTTCTGGATAGACGGGCACGTCACCTGACATTCCAGCCCACTAGATGGCGGTAATGGCCGTTCTGGATGCTTGACAACCTTCGCAAATCTTGTCAGGGAGGCACAGAGTAGCGAGTTTATCCGGTGTGTAGCAGAAGAAGTGTACACGGATGTTCAACAACCTCACCGCAGAGATGAGTGGACTGCCACGGTCACAGTGCGAGGACATCAGATAAAGGAGATAGGGAACTCGGCTTGAGAAACACCAACATCGCTCCGGCATATTTATCGTTTGAGAACTTCTTTGAAATGTTTTTATTGAGTAAAGCGAGCCACTCGTAGCCAAAGAAAACCCCTCCGCCTTCTTCAGTGACCGAGATGCGTTTCAACGAGAAGGAGCTGGTATGTTTGAGCCGCCAACCCTCAGAGATGGCAGCAGAGCTGGGAATGCGAGGTCCCAAGAAAGGAGACGGTAAAATACGACCCATTTCCTTCTGACTACAATATTCGTTCAACTCTAGAGTATTCTGTTACAGCAACTAATGTTTGCGTCATTTATTTATTGGCTGTGCTAACATCCGTTAAGTGTACAGTTCAGAAGGGTGTGTTATCTGTGTATCTTTCACGTACAGTTGTCAAGAGGAGGCTGGTGAAACTGGTAGTTAACTTTCTGTTTTACTTCCGGATTGATGAAGAGGAGGTCAGTTTGAGTCTCTGCTTCCTCTTTTGCTATACACAACAATTATTGCATCTGTTTTAGTAGATGAGTTGGCTCATTTCCATGTAAATGTTTACTTTACAGCCAATCGGGGCTCTGCTGTTGGAGCAGTGTCGTGTAGAGAGAGAGGACAGTCAGACTTTCTCTATTGGTGAGCCACTGACCCTCAGCAACAGATATTTATGTACACCACATACAAATAAATCACATTTTTATTCTCACCGCCTGCCATTAAATTGGACAGAGCCGTTTTTTTCTTTCATCAACTTTCTTCCTAGTAAGAAAAACTTTGGTGTTTTGATACCAGTAACAATCTCATTCCTATTTCTGCTAAGAGGTGCATCCATGTAGGAGCAAAGTCCAACGATTGTGACTGTTTTACAGTTTCAATTCGAGTGTTTTACTAACTTGATGTATGTTTCTCTCCCAGCATTTCTAGATGAAGCAGAGAGGAAATATCTGTTTGAGTGCGACTCTGAGGAGCAATGTAAGGAGTGGACAGACTCTATTATCAAAGCCAGGTAAGACCGACTGGCTTTCTTTCTTTTAACACTTAGCATAAATGCTTAGCATAAATATGGGGTGGTCTTACCATAACCTCAATTAACCTCTACAGTAGTCACAAAATCAATGACAAATTGATGTGTGCATCACCGTTTTGCATATTTTTAATTTCTTATTGCTGTGAGAAACGGTGGCATTAATGTCAACCATATCATTCTTAACGGCGTCTCTTTGGAAGTGCGTCTCCTTTTGCTACTGCTTGAAGGCAGTGTTCCTTTTGTTCAGTGGGAAAAGTAGTTGTTTTAATCTTACTTCATCGGTTTCTTTGTCTTGTTTACTTTTGTGGTTTTAAATATGTTATAGTTATAGAGCTATATTCCTGCTTGGTCAGGCATGTGTTGCTGTTTTAGAGTGCTACAATTTTGTAATTACAAGAGAAATATTTCTGCAGAGGGAAAAGGATAGTCTTGTTTGCTTAGTTTGCATCCCACGCAACGTGGCTTTAATTATTATTATTTACACTTTTTTTATGTTTTGTTTATCCTGAACTTTCCAAAACATTTTTATAGACTTCATAAAAGTTTAATTTCCCAACATTACCTGGTTTATTAGTTGGGTTTCCTGCTTAACTAGAAAGAGTATAGTCTCCTACTTAGGAGATGTGATTCTTGTAGCTTTCCAACTGCAGTGTAAAAAAATACCGCGACCTTATGAGTTTAAAGCTATAAAAAAATTTTTTACCAGCGACAATCCCATGACTAGTTGACTGCTATAAAATTAACTACAGGCCTAAAATACTCAATTAATTTTTGTCATTTCTTGCAGCTACGAATTCATGAGGAGGAATCTTATATTCTATCGAACGGAAATCCACAGGCTCACTGGAAAGGTGAGATTTGCAGCAACACGGATTAAGCCTCTTTCCTGGTGGCGACCTTTGAACAGTGTAAAATACTGTCACTGAAGTATTTTAAACATAAGTATTGGTACTGAAATAACTATCTACTGTCAGCTTGGATTTTTCTTCCTTTTATTTTTCCTCTTTCTTTTTTCTGTTCTTTTGAGCTGATCTTGTTCTTTTTGCTTCCCTTCCTGCTTTTTTTTCTTAATCACATTCTCTTTCTCCACTCTTTTTCTCCTCATTCTTCCCTTTATCCTCATTTTTCTTTTTGTTTGTCTTTTTTTTTGTCTTGTTCTTTTTCTTCTTGTTGTTCTACTATGTTATGTTGGCACTTTTTAAAGAAAGGTTCCTTAAAACTTTGAAGGCAGTGATGATGAAAATCTTTAGAGCGGTACATACTGTAGCTAAAGTCCTTCTCATTTACTTGCAATTGATTTGTCTCTGAAGTTGAAGCATGGAGTAACTTAGCCCTACTTTTAGAGGGCTACATTTGTTTGGTGATGACTGCTGTTAGCCAAGCAGTGCACTCTGTTTCTCTTCATTTTTTTTATGGGTTCAGAGACATAAGGAACATATTCACACGTAGAGATTTTTACAGCCACTATTTTGACCGCAAACTGTTAGAAGTGCTTATTTTATCAGCAAACTACAGTTAAATATAGTGGGGAAGACACTTTATCTGTAAGTTATTCTCATCTTTGTTGCTTCAATTGATAGTCTATTTAAAAATATTTAATTTCACTGTAATAAAAATGAATTGCCGCTTCTGGTCTATATTCACTGTCTGCTTTCTGCGCAGGATCCATTGGAGCAGTACGGTATATCTGATGAAACCCGCTTCCAGGTCAACAGTGGGTCGCAGCTGATGGCCAGAGATACCTCCTCCCTGTAGACCAGGAAGCTGTGCTCGGATTATTTTGTTTAGTTTGCCATTCCATCATTCGCTTTTCTTCAAAACAGCGATTCTGTCCTCCAATCTCATCCATCTGCATTGGTCTGTTCTGTTGGATTGTCAGACTCCTTGTTTTTAATCATTTTTCTGTATATATATATTTTTTTAAGAAATATTGTACTTTTCAGAGAATGTGTTGCTAAGAGAAAGATTGTTTTCGAGTGGGGTTCCTGCATTCATTTTGTGAGCAATCATTTCTAATGGAGCCTAATTCAGGATACATGTGATATAAACCCAACCAAATTCAGAATTAGCGCACAATTGACTCTTATTATAATTGTAAAAACTTTGCTAGATAACTGTTCTGACTTGACTTTCATTAGGCTCTTAATCTACAGAGCTAAACACCACCCCCATTTCTCATTTTAGCTGTTTTGAGTGTTTCTTCAGTTTATATCACATTTAAATTTTGTTTTTGCACATATCACTGGAAATGTAGTTTCTTTTTTTATTTTTTTAGAATTACAGTAATTTACTTGAACCTAATCTAAGTTTTTCTACAACTGTGAATCAGATTAATTTAGCTAAGCTATTGGACCATTTAGAAAACAACATTCTTGACATTAATCCTGAAATATAATGTCACAATTTACAAAGTCAGAGCAAATTATAGTTGGGAATTTTACGGCCTGGTTATAATTTTCCCACTGGGTTTTGCAGTTTCACACAAATTATAATGCTGTTTGTCAAGAGTTCCAGGACTTGTCATTGAATGTATGTTATTTTTAATTTTTTGCACATATTATTTCTTTTAGTACTTATTTTCAGTACACTTGTTTCACTGGCATTTCTTTTTATACCAATAAAGCAGTTTGAAAGAGATTCATGCAGTCCTCTTTGAAAGAAAATATTCTCTAACTGAATTATTATGCATGGATATAATCTTTTTGTGCCATCAGTCAACCTACTTACCGCAAGTGGAGACATGGTTAAACTCTTAAACTGGATGACCTGAGAAGTCCAGCGGCTGCTTAAAGAAAGGAACGCTGCTTTCAAGTCTGGGGATAAGAACCTCTACAACTTGGCACGGAGCAACCTAAAAAGAGGAATCAGAAAAGCTAAAAGGGACTACAAGGAGAGGACTGAAGAACATTTGAAGAACAACAACAGGCAGGCTTGGTTGGGAATCCAGCACGTCACCAACTACAGAATGGAGCAGCCAAAGGTGACATCTCACTAGCGGAGAAGTTGAACCACTTCTTCGCTCGTTTTGACTCGAAGCCTTCAATGGCAACTGTCTCGAATCAAGAAGTGCAACTAAGCACCTCCATCTTCCAGGTGGAGGAATTAAAAGTGAGACGCTCGCTACAGTCTGTCAACCCCAGAAAGGCAGCGGGACCTGATGGTGTTCCCGGACGTGTGCTGAGGAACTGTGCAGAGCAGCTGGCTGGGGTCTTTATAAAAATCTTTAATCAGTCTCTGTCTCAAGCCAGAATCCCACCCTGCCTGAAATCCTCCAAAATCATTGCCTGAAATCATTTCAGGCAATGATTTCAATGCCTGAAATCATTGTTGCCATTCCTAAAAAATGACCCATCACCTGCCTGAACGACTACTGACCAGTGGCTCTCACCCCATTGTTGATTAAATGTTTTGAAAGACTGGTTCAGAGTCATATTCATTCATTCATTCCTCACGCCTTTGACACACGCCAGTTTGCTTACAGAGCTAACAGGTCAACTGAAGATGCTGTTGCCACTGTCCTGCATGATGTCTTGTCCCACCTGGAGCATCGAGATAGCTACGCACGCATCCTCTTCATCGATTTCAGCTTGGCATTTAACACCATCCCCCCTGACAGATTAGTGGTTAACTGGCAGACCTGGGAATCCCCTCTTCCACCTGTTGCTGGATTAAGGACTTCCTGACGAATCGCAAACAAAGAGTCAGAATGGACCCCCATACCTCTTCATCCATCAACATCTGGCTCTCCTCAAGGCTGTGCACTGAACTCTCTGCTCTTTACGCTGTACACACACGATTGTGTTTCAGTTCTTCAAAGTACCACCCTCATTAAATTTGCAGATGATACAACTGTAGTGGGCCTCATCTCAGGGGGCAATGAGTCTACCTACAGGAACAAGGTGGAGCGACTGACAGCATGGTGCACAGACAGTAACTTCATCCGAAACACAACCAAGACCAAGAAGATCATAGTGGATTTTAGGAGAAGGAAAAGAGGCGTTGATCCACTAAACATCTGCAGAGAGCCTGTGAAGAGGGTGTCAAACTTGCGTTTCCTGGGAGTTCACATCATGGATAACCTGGCCTGGGATGTAAACACAGCAGAGAAGGCCCAGCAGAGACTCTATTTCCTGAGAGTCCTGAGGAGGAACAATATTTCTCAAAAACTGCTGGTGTCCTTCTATCGATGTTCTATTGAAACCATCATCTGCTATTGTCTCTGTGTGGTTCCCCAGCTGCACAGCAGCACAGAGGAAGACTCTCCAGAGAATCTTAAAATCTGCTCAGAAGACCATCGGCTGCTCTCTGCCTTCTCTCGAGGATCTCCACAGGTCCCGCTGCCTCAGGAAAGCCAAGAATATTTTAAAAGACTCCTCACACCCTCACACAAGATCAAGAAGACAAAAAAGACCTCCATCACCTCCAGGGGACAACTGTCCGTCTCCTGTTGGGCATTTGGACTGAAAACTGTGTGAGAGCTTTAACAACCTCGCTGGTCTGCTGTCCAGTATCAGCATAGAGGAAGAAAAGCTAAACATGCTTCGGAGCTGTGAGCGAAGACGACTCTGAACTGTTGACGCTTGTTCCATCTGTGGACAACATGGACATTTCCTGAGGGACGATCTGGACAACCCAAAGATCCAACGCCAAAACCAGTTGGACTGACAGGAACCCAGAGGAGAGAGACGGGGGAGGATTTCACTGCAGCAACGCCGAGACCGAGTGGAGGAGAGGGGCGAAAAGGAAGGAACAACCTGAATCCACATCAACCACTGTGAAGGACGACCTGTCTCTAATGTCCATCTAAATCATGACTGTAAATCTGAAACAGCAACAGAGTGAGCAGCAAAACTTCACTCTACCAAGAATCAAGTACTTCAGCTTTTGACACCAAAGAGGTCAATGTCCAGAGGAACAGCAAGTTTAAATGTTTCTGAAAGACTCTCCACTCAAAGAACTATTGCTGGTCCACTGGCGAGTGACGGAAACGGAGAGTGAAGATTTACACTGTTCTGTTATCCTTAAATATGCATTTAAAAGAGAAAATCAACGTCAGAAATTACTTGGTTTTTCATATGTTTAATTTTGACCAAAGAGGATGAAATCAGATGTTGCCTGGTTGTTTATAACTTGGGTTTATTTAGAATCAAAGAGTTTGGAGATCACTTTGAAACAGTTTTGTTTTATTTTGAAGAGTCGCCATTAGAATCAGATGAGGCAAGATTAAAATTTTACTTGTTGATTATAACGTGGGTTATATTAAAATCAAAGAGGATGAGATTATATTAAATTTTAATTAGATTTTCATAAGAGGACAACTTAATATCAAACCTACATTTTCATTAACATAAGCAACATAAAATGAAATTATTCATAATTATCGTGTTAGAGATGTCTAAGGATTGAAATGCATGCAAGGACATGTGGGATTAAAATAATTACTTATTTAAGTATTTAGAAATATTGCTTAGAAAATGGTTTGGTATTCCTCTGGTACTTTACTTCCAAATACATTATTTCAATTTCCTCCTTTTAAAGTTTTGTGAAAGATGACAAAACATATAGAAGATCGTCTCCCTGGCAAGGAGAGGTTGCAGGGTAAATTTTCTTACCTAACAGAAGTGAAACAATAAAGGGATGAATGGATGAATGCTGGTAGGTTTATCGTATCCTGCGTATATGCTTTTGTTTCATCATACAGAATAATGTTTCAATGACTGAATAAATATGTAATGTCTTAAAATGTATGGAATAATATTTTCATTTGTCACCATAAAAATTGTAGAAATTTCCTTTTATATAATCAGTGGGGACGGAATAAAATTGGACAAGTGATTAATAGTAAATATTACATATTTACTGATAATCAAAAGTAGGGAAATGTGGTGTAAAATTACTATTACTATAAGTTAACATCTGCTGATCATGTTTATGAAATGCTTGTGAACTCTCACCAAAAGAACTATTTGGGTTACATGCACAAGGTTGGAAGTTCTTTTCAACAGCTGTCTGCCAATGTTTTGAATTATTTTCCCTTGGTATAAGACTCATGTGTTGTCTCTGCCTGGCAGAGCTTTCCATCCAGAATTGCTTCATCATTGATTGTCCTGCGAGCTCTCTGAGTTGTGCACAATTCATAAATAAACCTGATTGAGTGATTTTACCTGAACAGTGCTTGGTAATGGTTTTTTTCCCACAACAATGGTCAAAAACATTAAAGGCTCTCAAGTAAAAGGCGTGGCAGTTTTAGCTAATGTTGGACCCATGAGCCCATGCTAACATTAGCATATTAGACTGCGAAGACTTTGATGCATCATCTTTTTGAAGAAAAATCATCCTGTAACCATATATGCGAGTAGTATATACAAATATTTTTGAAAAAAAAACTGGAAACGTACACCGGCTATAAGCCGCTGGTATCTCCACGGTTCTCGGTTTTAGATAAGTACGCAGCAGAGGGCAGAGGAAGAGGACTGCGTCCTAATAAATCTGCTTTTTATGCTCACACAAAGTCAGTGGTTAAAAATAAAAAAGAAAACGTAATTTTTATTAATTACACTTTCTGTGACAGCAGCCCAGTTCTTTTCAGACAAAGCCTCCTTGGTTTGTTTTAAAATGTCTTATCTTAATGAAAGCTCAACAGGCTGCTATAAAAGCAAACATTACACTAATTTATTATATCGCATGGCAAAGACCAGAGTCGACCAGTAGCAGACGTTTCCTTAGCAACGGGAAGTGTGCGATTCAAAATCAGTGACGTCACGGCCTTCCCGTGGTGCTTTGCAAACCCAAATTGAATGCTCGGTTAAAGAATACATTTGTATTCTGTTAATTCCCGTTTTAAAGGCATAAGAAAAGATCTGAGTTTGACACGCCTGGACAGAAGGAGCTCACCAACACCCAAAGTGGAGAGTGTATCGGATAAAGGTAGGACTTATCGCGAGTGGAGATTGTTCACAAATAGTGTTGACAAAGCATTAGCTTGACAGCTATCTTTAGCTTAGCTTAGCTCTGTGCGCTAGGTGATTGGATTGTTTTTGTTTTGTTACTTGTTTTGTTTTTTACTACTGTGACTATCTATTGATGATAATTAACATGTAAAGCCAAATACAGGTAAATAAATCCGTGTGGTTAAGATGCAGTTTCAGATTTAAGTAAATAATTTTGTAGTGGCAAGTAGATTATAGTGGTGCTCTTATTAGCATCTATTTAGAATGAACTCAATCCCATATAAAATAAATGAATAATAATGTCACGTTAAATCCAAAGTTGACATGAGTTGGATACGGGACGAAGCAAACCTTTGAGTTGTCATTTCCTCACTCGGTTTTTGTGTTCTTGTTGTTGTTTTAGGACTTCACTTGATTTGACCGATTTATGACCGCAATGTATTATTTTCTGCCTCTTAATGAATAATAATAAATTAACCTTTTATGGTAATCAACAAAATGACATGCGTTCTAAAGACAGAACATGTAACCTATAATTTTGTGCAGCGTCATTTATAAAGTTAATTTAAGTACTGTTAGACTAAAGCAGGGGTGTCAGACTCCAGTCCTTAAAAGCCGGTGTCCTGCAACTTTTAGATGTGCTTCTGCTGCGCCACACCTGAATAAAATAATTGTTAGCAAGGCTCTGGAGAACTTATCTACACAATGAGGAGGTAATTAAGCCATTTCATTCCAGTGTTTTCTTCCTGTGGCACATCTAAAGACTGCAGGACACCGACCCTTGAGGACTGTACTTTGACACATTTGGACTAAAGGGTCTTCTGAATGATAAAAAATTACAATTCATCAATTATTTACATTTCTAATCTTTGCTGCAACATATTGTGTTGTCTTTGCTTGTTTTGTTAAGGAATGATGGATCAGGACTATGAATGCCGGCTGCTCAGACAAATAAATATCCAAAACGAGAATGCAAGCCCCATAGTAAGTATGCAAGAAACTTACCTTTTCTTCTTTGCTCATTTTCTTTCCCCACAAAATTGTTTTAATTGAAGCTGGCAGAACATGGAGGAGAAAATAAGAAGTGGCACAAATTTAAGCAGGATTCAGGACTCGGCTTGTTCATTGATCTGTCATGAAATGTCGAGGCAAAGATTAACTTTATGTTTACATGCTCTTTCGTTTTTATGTGTCCATTTTATTCTCTGTTTTTTTTTTAAAGTCTACTATTCTTGAGTTGAATAAATTTACAAGAATTCCAATGTATGGTAATGCATTCTATTCTATTCTCTGTGCTATTCCTCTATTAAAGTTATGGTATTTTTGTTACATAAGTATTTAACTTTCTGAATATTTCTAAACACTTTTACTGCATGGTTTTGTACCATATCACTGCTAAAAGTTGTAATAAGGAGACCATTTGCGATGGTCCCAGATTTTCTGTGTTGCTCTTTGTCTGATCTGTCATTGTGTTTCCAACTCCCTCTGTGACATTTGGCATCTTATGCACAACATACTGAAGAGAAACTCCACCCAAAGATGATCTTTTGTGGTTTTAGTATTGCACAAAATGACATTCCTATGAGACTTTTTTGCTGAGAGGTTTTGTTCCATAAATATATAATGGCATTACACAATTGTGGATTTTTTCCACCACCTCCCAAAGGTACTTTACTGGGTTGAGATCTGGGCACATTGGGAGCCATTAGAGTAAATTTCTCTTGCTATGTTCAAGAAACCAGTTTGCGATGTAGTGAGCTTTGAGACGCGGTGCATAATTCTGATGGAAATAGCCATCTGAAGATTTGCAAACTGTAAATAAAGATATTGAGATCGGTCAATAACAGTTGGAACGATTTGGATTGAATTTATTTTCATTAAACCAAAAATCTTGTTTCTGATAGGAAACAAAACCAATATTTCACACAAGACAATAGGGCTAAAAAAATTATTTCTTCCTGTTTTTATTTAAATTTGGACAACAAATGGAACTAATGGACTCAAAGTGTGCAAAAAAAAAAAAAAAAAGTATCCTCTCTGCCATTACATCACCGCCAGCCTGAAACAGTGATATAAAGCTGTTCGGATCTGCGGTTTCACGTTGTTTTTCACCAGAGTCTGACACTGCCATCTGAATGCAACAGCTGAAATCAAGACTCATCAGACCAGGCAACAGTTTTCCAGGCTGTTATTGTTCCGTCTTGGTGAGCCTGTATTAACTGAAGCCTTAGTTTCCTGTTGTCAGCTGACAGGAGTGACACCCAGTGCAGTCTTCCACTACTTGGTGTCGGCATATTGTGCTCTGCGTTTAAGGGTTTCAATGAACAGTAGAGCTTTCTGTTTTGGTATCAACAAAGCAGTTTTGACTGCACAACTACCTCTCACTGGAGATTTTCTTTTTCATACCCTTCTTTGTAAATTCGAGAAATAGCTGTCCAAATTTTGGGCATCAGTTTCTGAAACGCTCGGTCAAGCCTGCCTGGCACCGGCCACCATTCCTCCGTCAGAGAAACTCAAGTTCCCTTTGTACTTCATCCTGATGCTTGTTTTGATCTTCAGCAAGACATCCAACATGCTTAGATGCTGTCACGCGATTGGCTGATTCCCTATTTGCGGAATCAGCATCTAAAGTGGCTGCTGAGTGTAACATCGTTAGCCTCGCAGCATAACTGCCTAAGTCATATTTTAACGTTTTTGGAAAACGAGAAAAAAACATAAATAAAATGTGGAAAAATATGTTCACAATTTATGGATTTTGGGTTCTGATAGGCTGAGTTGAAAGGCAATTAGACAGGGTGATGTAGGAGTTTAAGGAGATCAATATTATGCAGATATCTTACCATAACTTGGCCAAAATACAGTCTAGGCAATTACGGTATAAAGGCAACAACATGCCGTTGTAATTTATGTTTAATTGGTTTACAACATAAAATGTTGATTGAGCCAGACGGTTGCACTTTACTCTTTAGCTTCATGTTAGCAAACGCAATATAGAAGCTTTTTGGTCTGTTGCCTGTAAGTGTGCTTTCAGTTTGTAGAGTTGCTTGTTCAAATAAAGCATCTTCAGCCAGAGCTTCAAAATTTCGTAATCCTTTATTGT